TCCCGCCTATATTCTCAAGTATAGCTGCCGTTGTGAACAATGCCGCTCGATGATGAGGCTCAACTAACTGGGTAAGCAAGCTTCGCAGAACAAGGCTGTAAGCGGAACCCAGGCACCAGATCATTATGCCTAGAAGCACTTTGCATCAGCGTGATATCCTCTACGTAATAAACTCAATACGCAGAGGAAAGAGGCTTGTAGTGGGGGACTGGCATCACATCACACGCCCAGCGTCCGGAACGGAAACTTGTTCTTACCGAAGAGAAAAAAGGCACTCGTAGCGGAGACGCAAATGACCAAGTTTCCAACTGTGAGAAGCATAGAGCTCATTTTGGCCAGAAACAAATCCTTGTCAATCGCTCGCATTGCCCACTTTTTGACAAGGAAAAAATTGGCCATCGGAAGAAGTATTGTGAGCAGTACCAACGTACTTGCAGCCTTGTGCGAAATAAGATTCCCAGCCTGCATTGAGAAAACGTCATGAGTATCGTATAATTCACTTTCAAGGCCCTACAGTGGGAAACAACTGACCTCAGACCATGACCATTTGAATCGTCTTCGGGCGAATTGAAGCATCATCTCTTGTGCCGTCTTTCCAAACGTCGTTGTCAAAAGGGTAGAGAGAAGGAAAGCTACCCGGTAATTTCCTGCAACAAAAAAGACGGTACCCTCCTTGAGTCTCTCCAAGCCATGGCAAAATCGAACCCAAATGTTGCTGTGCTTGTGACCTCGCTCGACCTCCTCATTCTGACCCGTGGAACTATCAGCGCTTATTAAGCCAGGAGACGCCTGGTCCGAAAACACCGATGGGCTTTTTGTTTCTTCCATGCACAGGACCAACAATATGCAAACAGGGAATAAAATTATGCCAAGGAAAATCGGAAGCCACAAGTTTGCCTGCATCAACACTGAAGCCACAGGGCTAACGACCAGCTCAGTGACAAGAACGGCAGCCCCAAGCGTAAAGAATGTTGTAGCCCTAGTTGATGGAGGCGTAAGTACTGTTTTACACTGACGGCGTTGCTGGGAGAAGTGTGCCTCACCGATATGGACCGGGGACGAGATCGGACAATGCCGAGAACACAACTGAGCTCAACACGGCGTTGCCGCCGCCGATGAGCATGAATGCTGGCGATACCCATGTGAGACGAACGGGAAACTGTTGCGGCCAAAAACCTGGAGAGGGTCAACACTTGGTCAAGACAAGGCGTGTCATCTTGTGCACTCACAAACAGCTGTGTAGAATAACGACGCCATGCTCATCCCTGCGACGCATAGTATGAGCACGGGTTTCTTTCCGTATTTATCCGCTGCAAAGCCATACGGTATGCCAGTTACTATGCCTGCAGTGAGCCTATTCTTCAGCAATGGGTCGGGTATCGGATTGCAGTGCTGAATCTCGCAGGGTCTACAAACTTGGTATGAGATCAAAAGTGGTTTGCCATCCTTGTAGCGTGGCCAACTCTGCCTGTACGGCATTGTCGTCGCCGCATTGGCTGATATTAGGACGTGTCGAGTCCGCGTACATGCGGCGACAGATGTTTTCTTCGAGCACCTGGTTGAAAGGGACGGACTGAAGAATACTGCTTGATTCAATAAAGACGATGAGAATGATGGGCAACGAGCATAAAAGCATGCTGCGGCGCGAAAAGTCCTCCTTGGCATCGCGAGAGTGGTGTTGGGCGGTTGCATTGGTCATGGCATCCTCTTGGCCAGATGCCGTTTGCTGCGACAAGAGTGGCCATCTCTCGTCTGGTCCCACGGAGCTATGTAGTCCAGAGTCGCTCGAGGGAGACATGTTGATTCGGGGCGATGGCACGCTCAGCGGTTGCTCGTTGCTGTCACCTCGAGCCACGGCTGTGACGGGAGTAATGAATGATGGCACTGCGGGGTGAAGAGAGCGCAATTGTACCAGACGGTGCACATGTCGTGCTGACGCTTGGATCGGAAACCCTGTGCTGTCATGTCAAGTATGCTGTCAGATGCAAAAGTACCTTGTAACTGTCGGCCGTCGACGCAGTCATCAAGGCCACAACCTGGTGGAGCTATGCTGACGTCCTGCTGCCAAAGAAGGCAGCAGCAGTCAAGCGTCTCTGCGGATAGCTGTAGTCTTTTTATTTTATTGGTACCGTCATAAGGTGAAGGAGAAGTAATGGGGTGATGATTGTGGCTCGTGCTTATAATTGACAGGTTACCCCGACATGGTAGAGGTTCCAGCCATTTGGCCAAGACTTCAAATAAGTAGACCAGTAATCCAAGGAATCACATCTTCTTGACCTCATCAACAGCGATTTCAGTCCAAATGAGAATGCCACAACGGCTCTTTTAGAGAAACTTGCATCATTCTGGAATGAATCTGTCAACTCTAAGCATCTTCTTGAATCCTTACTGGGTGCCGATAGCCTGGCAGAAAACATGTGCATCGCCGGCTACAACAAGCCTTGCACTCTTGGTCGAATTAGTACACTCGTGCGTTCCGACTTTGTCAAAGCTTTTCGAGATTTTACCGCCTATTGAATTCGTTTTGCGTTTAATATTAGCTTTGCGATCCTGCTCGGGATGTCTGGCTCCGGCTGGTCTATCAGTAAGAATCGATTGAGTCGCAAGTTGACGAAATCGTTTTCGGCCTCTGTTTCATATCCTGTCAGAAATCGAATACGCGCCAGCCCTCATCCAAGACTACGTAACCTTTGTACATGATTATCGAAATGGTTTATACGGGCCATTAGAATTTGCAATGTCAAATTTTGTCACAGGTATATCGTATTTGATTTTATCCAGTCTTCTATTTTCCTATATATTTATCTCGTTATGAAGTCCTCCAAGTCAGGTCGCGGCGTTTCTCAACTATCCTCTATGGATATGCCTTGGCTCTTTTGCAGACGAGGCAGTAATCGTTCTGGTCGTGGCGGTATACCCCAACTTAGTTTGCCGTTGCCTTTGCATGTCAGAGGACATAGTGTGAGAGAAAGAGCCAGTATGTGCATACTTGTAAGCCGGACATCGGGGTTATTCTGCCTAGGGCTGCTATTGCTGCATCTTTTTGCTCCATGGGCCTAGTAGTCTAACCAGGGAACCACTCTAACATAATCTGGGTATACTTGCTCTGCGTGATCTCCGAGTGTCGAATAAAACTGCCTCTGGTAACTGGAAAAGTAGGTTTGACGTCATTACCAGCATACCATAAAATCATAGATGACCTATATTTGAACAGCTGGGAAGCCCTCCGAAGCAGTGATACACAAAATGAACTCTTCCAGCGAGAAAGCGTGGCAATACTATCAACGAATCAAGGCTAGAAGCTTAGTGAATAACGAGTCTCATAACGTGACAAATGCCAGCAGAATAGGAGCGTAATGCTCTTTATTCGCAAAACAGTATCTCTCTTGCCAACTCCAATTACTTCCAAGTCAGGCAAAAATGCCTTTATTACGAGCTAGAACCTGCTAGACAAGTCACAACGATTACTCTGCTTTGCTTTCTCCGCACCCCCAACCTGGCCCTCGTTGTTACTGTCTTACTTGGCACCATTTTGACTGCCACCCCTTTGGCTGCCACCCCTTTGACTGCCACCATTTTGGTTGCCAGCCTTTTGATTGCCTCCCTTTTGGTTGCCGCCATTTTGGTTGCCGCCATTTTGACTGCCGCCATTTTGATTGCCGCCATTTTGATTGCCACCATTTTGGCCTTTGTTGATGTTATTTTGATCGTCCTGTGGGTTTCCGACTGGGTTGTTTCCGCCGTTTTTACCATTTCCAGCAACGAAATCCGCCAAATTCTTGAGGCTAACCTTCTGTTCACTCTGGATTGTCTCAAGAGTATCGGCTGTGGTAATGTCATCCGGCGATCGCTCCCCCTGGTTGCCGCCGTTGTTCTTGTTGCCGTTTCCAGTATTCTTGTTGCCGTTGCCAGTATTCTTGTTGCCGTTACCGGTATTCTGGTTGCCAGTACCGGTATTCTTGTTGCCGTTACCGGTACTCTTGTTGCCAGTACCGGTATTCTTCGTACCGCCGCCTTGCCCACCCTGCCTGGTGTTTTCGGCCCGTTTGTCGCTCGTCCCTCTTCTCCTGCCGGCATTCTTGTTCGAGTTTCCTAGACGGTTGTTTCCCTGACCTCTATTTCCTTGGCCGCCGTTTCCTTGGCCG